ACCATACACACAAGTCAATATACCTGAGATGAAGCCGCTCATGGCTTCAAACTGCTGAATGACGCGCCGGAGCTCAAAACGACCGGTCGGGTCGTTACACTTCCACAGGCAACTCATCATTAGAGAAGGTGACCCTGTTCACCTCAAATATTTTATTGTCGATCTTTTCCAGATGGTTCACTGAAATTTTGTCGGGAACATGAGCCTCGTTCAGAATTTTCATCAGGGCCCGACGATGCTCATCTGAGTGGATTAACAATGACAACAATGAAATATGAGCAGGCGTCTTTCTCAGTTGCTCCACGATGGAATAATATTGCACCTTCATTTTTCTCAGAAACTCCTCCACCTCCTCTTCAGTCACTGCTTTCTTCACTAGAACTGGGTTATCTCTGGATGTTTTAGATTTCCTTAACACTTTCGGGGCAAAGCATTTCCCCGAACGAGTTAATCCCTAGGCCTCATTGACTTCTTCTTTCACTTCCTTTCCCTTACAGGTCACTATCACCCGTTTATAGTTCCATAGGATGGCCTTGATGCTGATTATCGGCAACTGAGTTACATGCTTGATGATGACAGTATCCGTACGGGCACCCTCCACAATTATGATAGGCTTGTTAGCCACTCCTGGCACAACTACTTTTGACTTTTCTTGTTTTGCTATAACATCACTTGGGGATCCTTTCTTAGCTACCACAGATGGCTTGCCGTTTGTCATGCTCAACTTGTTCACTAATCCTTCAACTGTTGATTTTTTAACTAGCTTGACCTCACTAGACTGAATCATCATGACGTTCTATGAAGGCTTCTTGGGCTCCCCTCCCATATGTACTATCTCAATTATGTTTGTTTCCTGATGGGTTGGAAGTGGGTTCTGGTTGATATTGGGTGCCTCTGGAGTTTGGACTTCAATCCGGTTCGTGTCAATGAGCTCCTAAATGGCATTTTTTAGGTTCCAGCACTTCTCCGTAGCATGCCCCGGAGTACCAGAACAATATTCACAACTCACGGAGTAATCAATATTCTTTTGGGGAGGGTTTGACAATTTCGACTCAATTGGCCTCAACATAACCAATTGCCTCAATCTATGGAATAAACTGGTATAGGACTCTCCCAATGGGGTGAATGTTTTCTTCCACTACAACCTCTCGTTTTTGAATGTTGGATTGGGTCGGAAACCTGGACCGGCAGGGTGTTGGTAGGCTCGTGGGTGTGGGTAAGCATTTTGTGGAGCTGGGTAGGTGTTTTGTGGGGCTGGGGCATGCCATTGTGCATAGGCAGGAGGTTGAGTATATGTCTAGGTGTGGAGGACAGAAATATGAGGGTCTGGTGATGGGAAGTAGTGTTGGGGTGGACTATATAGGGTTTGGGTGTAGGTTCGATGATGGGGTCGAGGCCGGGTATATTGGTGTGACGGGCCCCTGGGTCCAAACCATGATCCTGAATCAATTGTTGCCACATCTTCTTTCTTCTTCTTTCCAATCACTCCCCCAGTATCGTTCTGAATGGCTTAGGTAGTTGCCTTGATAGCCGAGTAACTCATGATTTTGCTTGATTTAAGCCCTTCTTCCACCATGACACCCTTCTTCACTACCCCGTTCAAAGACTTGCCTATGGCTGATATCAGATGGCCAAAGTAAGTGGGCTCCCGAGCCTGCAGAAAGTACTCCACCATTTCGCTATCCTCCATCGGGGGGTTAACTCTTGTCGCTTGCTCTCTCCAGTGAAACCATATTCTCTGAAACTTTCACTAGGCTTTTTCTCAATCTTAGTCAAAGACAAATGATCGGGAACAATCTCAATGTTGTAATGGAAATGACGAGTGAATGCTTGGGCCAACTCATCTCAGGTATACCATCTGCTGTGATCATGACGAGTGTACCACTCCAATGCCGAACCACTCAAACTCTAGCTAAATTATGCCATCATAGCTTATCTTTCCCACCGGCTCCTCTCATTTTACTGCAAAATCCCCTCAAGTGGGCCATCGAGTCTCCCTGCCTGTCATACAAATCAAACTTCAACATCTTAAATCCCACAGGTAACTGAACATCGAGAAATTGACACAAATCCTTGTAGGCTACACTCACCTAGCCTCCCAATCCCTGCATGTTTCTGAATGACTGCTCCAGGCTTCTAACCTTCCTGAACCTCTCTTCATGCTCTGGGTTTTAGGTGGTTTCTCAGTCTCAACAGGGAGGTCGAAATTAGGAGTATAAGAGTAAGGCTCTAGGGCCTTGAAAGTAGGCTCTGGGGGGTAGTATTGGTTATCCTCGGTCTGGAATAAGGGCTCACTGGAGGATCAATGAAGTGTAGCGGGTGGGGGTACCACGAAGATAGGGGTGGCTGGTGAAGGAGGGTATGGGACTAGTTTGGGTGGTGGTTCTTGTGGGGTTTAGGAAGTGGTGCCTTGGTAGTGGTGGTAAATGGGAAATACCGGAGATGAATCAATAGTGGGAGGTTCTAGGGATTGAGCCAGCGGCAGGACGAAAGCAGGGTTGGCGGGGTAGGATGCCCTTTTACCCATGTTTGGTACATCTCTGCCATCTGGTGTTTCAGCTTATACAACTCCTTTTTCAGATTAACATCAGACTCTTCCCCCTCTCTTGACGGGTCAATAACACTTGCATCCAGTTCTTGGTTAGCCATGATCAACTTGTCTTTGGACCTGGTGTTGTACGGGTGAGTTGGCAGAATGCCAAACAAACTAACCACATGCCTGAACTTGATGACAACAACAAACTTGTTAGCGATTAAGGCTTAACAGATATGCAACCGCACGTTGGGGATGCAATGCACCTAAGCAGTTAACCATTTCTACTATGCATTTGAACGGCTGCTTGCATCATCCCAGCTTTCACTAATTTTCGTTTGGCATAATGGCTTCCTGGCCACTTAAACTTGTAGGGCTTTTGAAAGCCGATACACAAAGTTTTGTCTTTCTTATTTAAACACTCAAACTCGTGAAACCTATAACTAATAAACACATTTTAACCTTGACCCTAAACGCGTGTATTACACATTCGTTAATATGTACATCCAGCCAGCAAATGACCAATGAGACCGGTACACGTCAATGGCGCGAGATTAAACCCCAACTGATTGAGGTCCCCCCTCTTTTAATCAGTACACCGACAAACCCTCCCCCACTTTTCGTCTCTTTTCCTCTCTCTAACCAACCCTCCCCTCTTAAACCTAGGTTAAGCAATGGATGAAAATTAGTCATCCCCTTCCAAAATAACCGATTGGGGTCCCCCCCTCTTTTAAACAAAAGCTGATCGAGCTTCATTTGGTCTAAGCTTTCGATTTCAGTCACGTTATAGGCTCTGAAGGTTAGTTTATTTCTTTTGATGTCGTTTTCTTTTGTCTTCTAATTTTTTGTGAAATAATGTGGGTAATGTTTGATAGTGAAAGCTATTTTTATCTGCATGCACAATTTTTCATCTGCTATAGTGGAAGCCATTTCGCCTTTTGGGATTTTATACTTGGGGAAACACTCGAATATTCACTCTTTTTTAGGGGTTTTGTCTTTTTCATGACTGATCTGGCATTTGGGGTTAAAAAATTAGGGCTTTTGTCTGCATGCACAAATTATGAGATTTTATATTAGGGTTTTGGGGAAAATAGTCGTATGTTCACTTTATTTTAGGGGTTTGTCTTTTTCATGAGTGATATGGCATTTAGAGTTAAAAAATTAGGCTTTTTTGAATATCAANGGACCTAGATGAAATGTTAAGTAGTGGTGGTTTAAATGTGGACCCCACTAATGTTCAGCCATTTGACTTTAATAAAATGCCACATGGGCAAACAAGTGATGTTAATGCTAGGGTAACACACTCACCTAACAATGATATAAATAGGGGTGATAACACTCATGGGAAAGGTAAAGAGAGGGCTGTTGAAAGTGATTCTGAAACAGAAGATTCTAGTGAAGATGAAAGTGAGTTCTATACCTTTCATTTAGCAACTGATTCTGAGGGTGATGTTGAGAGTGATATTGAGGGTGATGTTGAGGGTGATGAGCTAAGTACTAAGAGTGATAAAGATTATGAGGCTATTTCTGAAGATGATGATGATGATACAGATGAGTCATTATACGGTTTTGATGAGGATATTGTTGGAGAGACAAGTGACCTAGAACCTGAAGTTGTTGCTGCTAGACAGGCTAAAATGAATGCAAAGAGTAGTAAATTAAGATCTAGTGAAGTTAATACTAATGAGATACCTAGTGGACCTTTAGGTATAGACCCTGGTTTTGAAGACATGTATAAAGACATGGGATCCAAATATGCTGGGATCCAGGTAGTGAGGATACAAATGATGAAGTAGTTGAAGAAGATAGGGTACATAACCCTCAACTAAGAAGATACAGCAGCAGGGTATACTTTGATCCTGCTTGTAAGAAAATTTATTTCCAGTTGGAAATGGTGTTTGAAAATGTGAAACAATTCAGATCTGCTTTGCAAGATTATGCTGTACAAAGAAGAGTTCAAATTAAGTTGAGGCCTAATGAGCAACATAGGGTTAGGGCAAAATGAGTGAACTCAACAAGATGTAGATGGCATATTTTGGGAAGTTTGGAGGGACACATAGGAAATTTCATTGTCAGCAGCTACTATCTTGCTCATAAGTGTTTTAGAGCAACCAGAAACAAGATGGCTAATACAGCATGGGTAGCTAAACATTTCAAGGACAAGATTATCAACCAACCTAACATAAAGCTTAGAAAGTTGCAGGATTTGATTAGGATAAAGTATGGTATGTATGTGGGAAAATCCATATGTGCTAGGGCTAAACATCAGGTCATGGGTTAGTATCTTGGTGATTACAAATAGAGTTTGCTAGAATATATGATTATGCTGACATGTTAAGGTCTACAAATCCTGGCGTCCAAGGAGACAATACCTGGTAAGGAGGTGTTTGTGGGTATCTATATTTGTCTACATGCTTGCAAAGTTGGTTGGTTGGAAGGATGTAGAAATGTTATTGGCTTTGATGGAGCATTTCTGAAGGGTGTGTATAAGGGTAAGCTACTATCATGCATTGGTAAAGATGGTAACAACCAAATGTACCATGTTGCCTGGGCAGTGGTGGAAAAGGAGACAAAGCACACATGGTCATGGTTTTTTAGGTGCCTGATGCATGAACTGCAGCTCACTAAATCCCAAGGTGAGGGGCTCACCATAATTTCTGATATGCAGAAGGTATATACTTCACCCATGTTATTCCTTTAATTATTTGTCTACTTTATATATGTTTCTGATATTCTAATTGTTTTTTGTTGCTTAAGGGACTTGTTGCATTTGTTTCTGAGTTGTTACCAAATGTTGAGCACAGAATGTGTGCAAGACACATATGGAGCAACTGGAAACAAAAGTGGAAAGGAGAGGCAAGACGGAAGAAGTTTTGGGCCTGTGTAAGGGCTTCATTTGAAGCATATTTGAAGGCTAAGATAGACGAGCAGGCAGAACTAGGTGATAGTAAGACCATTGAGGACTTGATGAGATACCCAAAACAATGTTGGTGTAGAGCATTCTTCAAAGATTGGAGTAAGTGTGATTCTGTGGAGAACAACATGTGTGAGATATTTAGCAGTTGGATCTTGTCTGCTAGGCACAAGTCTATCATAACCATGTTAGAAAAGATTAGAGTGGAGGTGATGGAGAGGATGACTACCATGAGAGAATTTGCAACAAGGTGGATTTCTGATGTATCTCCTTTGGCAATGGGGTATATAGAGGAACAATCTCAATATGCTGTTAAGCATGAATTTAAATGGAATGGGGATACTGGGTATGAGATACAACATGGAGTTTAAAAACATATTATTGATTTCTCCAACAATACATGCACATGTAGATCATGGCAGCTCAAAGGAATACCATGCTCCCATACAATATGTGCAATGTTTTTTTAGAGATAGCATGCTGACTATGTAACCCACCGGTACAAGAAAGAAACATACCTGAAGGCTTTTAGTTGTTACATACAGCTAGTAACCAACATGGAGATGTGGCCATCAACACAAAATCCAACTGTTGAGCCTCCTGTAATTACCAAGATGCCTGGTATACCTAAGAAAAATAGAAAAAGAGCTCATGATGAACCTAAAAAGAAGTTTGGTAAGTGATCAAGTAAAGGAACACCAATGACATGCTCTTTTTTTAAGATAGTAGGCCATAACAAGAAGGGGTGTCCTATCTTGGTAATGTATTCAATTTATTTTTTATTGTGTCTTGTACTTTGGTTGTTTCTATATCTCATTTTATATTTTGGAAATTTCAGAAAGGAAAAGGATCTGGAACAACAGGAACCAGTAATGCTGGTGCTACTCAACCATCACAAGTTGCTCAAACAACAACTCAACAATCAGGTCCTACAAGTAATTCCGGAACTGCCATGGCCAGAAATACTCAACCATCAGTTGTTGCAAGTGCATCTGTAAGTATTCATTTTTTACTTTAGTTAATCTGTATTAGGACCATAATTTTTAAATTACTAGATAGTATTTTATCTTACATCAGGATACTGGAAGTATGAGATCAAGAACTTCTAAGGATATTATAGCTAGTGTTAGAGGAAGGCCAAGAGGTAGTGGATTTCGAGGAAGACCAAGAACTACTGGATTTGGTATATTGTTTAGTGATACAGGAACAGTGATAGAAAGGGTAAGATCATTAAGGATTTGAATTTTTATTTATATATTAGTAGTTTGGGTACTAATTTGGCTTCCCATGCAATGTGGAGCAAGTGATAGGGTACATTCTACTCCTATAAAAGCAGTGGATGCTGGGCAGACCAATATCGATCTTGGATACAGTGCACCTGGACTAAAGTCGCAAGGAAGAAATGCTATATCACAAAGGCAACTTCAACAATAGTTGAGGAGAAGACAAACTCAAGCAAGCCTTAGCCAACCTCAAGTCCATTCTTCATCTCAGCCAAGCTAGTCTCCATGTCCAAACTTGAGCCAATCTCAGCAAAACATCAACCAATCTCAACCTTGAAGACAACTGAATGTTTATTTTTATGATAACTTAAGTCTGATAGTTGTAGAACTTAATTTGTAGGTTAACGTAAGTCTGTTTAACTATGACTTTTCTTTTGGAACAATGTTTAAACTATTTCTGCTACTAGACAGCAGTTCAGTGCTAATTTTTTCAATCAAGAAGGCTTATCAAAATTGGTTGTTTATATATATGCGCTTGTTTATGTTAAAATTTCCTTTCATTCCACAAAAAATACATCATTTATTATGTCATTATCATTGTACATAGGGTTATAAAGACATTGATTAGTGCTAACTACACTAAGAAGAAAATTATAATTATTAGTGCTACTACAACAACTAAAGTTACAATGATCTTCACCCTCTTCCTACGTTGTAGTCGATCTTTCTCTCTCTAATTCTTGATAACAGCCCTGAAATCACCTATTTATAGTGACTTGGAAGAGGTGGGTCAAACCACCTAAAAAAATTACAAGAATCGGCGCGACCATAGTTTGAGCACCCATAAAACCTTTTTTCTGGATTTGTTGACTTCCAAGTGATGCAAATATGAGCTTCAACTCCACAATGACAAAATACAGGACTTTGATTCATTATCACAGTCTGGAAAAAGAAAAAAAAATTAAAGAAAGCTTCAGATTTTAAGAAATATGAAGGAATAAAGCTTCAAATGCATATAATAGAGGGATACTATGTTTTACATTGAAGGAATAAGAACCCACTTAAATAGGCCCCATTTTTGACTATTGGGCATTGGGAAAGGGGCTCTCACGCTCCTAAACCGTTACACCTTGTGTATTCGGCGTTATCATGCTGTAAATGGGCTAATTCGATAGGAAGATAATTTCTATGAGATATTTACATGATGATATAGTTATACGTTGAGATTGGAAGTCATTTGAGTTGTGATTAAAAATTCGACAAAGATCGCGCGCAAGTTACGAGTTTAAATTTCACTGGAATTTGGATTAAATATTGATGAGCTTTTCTCTCAATATACTGGGAGTTATGGTGTGTTCTACCTACCTAATCAAAGATCTATGAGTCTAGTTTCCAACTCAACAAACCGTTCGTTAATAAGACTTCGGAGTAGAGAGATATTAACATTTTCGTACATGGGTGCACACTATTACGGGAACAGTGTGCCTAGTCGGGTTTGTTAAAATTTCTTTATTTAAGTCAATTTTTAAAACAGAACCCCTGCATTTTTTTCATCTCCAAAACAGAACCTAACACCTAGGGATTTCCTCTCAAACTCCTCCCATCCATCTAGCCAATCATAACAACAATTTAGTCATCCTCAAGATGGAGAGCACCATGGTAGCTTCAGAATCGTGAATTCTTCGGTGTTTCACTTTTCATAGCAAGACTCCGCCTTGAAGAAATTTCGAATTTTGAGTAATTCTGGTCACATAAGGTATGATTTAACTTCCTCTTTGATCTTTGTAAACTTCTACCATAAGAATTCCTAAGAAATAGTTGAAACCTCTATAGAAATGTTCTTGATTTTGTTAAGAAACCTCTCTTAATATGGCTTAATTGTTGGGGCAGTTCTATATAGTTTTATTGTGTTGTTTGGATCTGGGAAGACATGGGTGGAATCATGTCGATGAGGAGATGTAGTAAAGTAAAATTTGGTGGTGTGTTGGGGGGAAATTAATCTACAAAAGAGTCTACAAATTCATGGCCACAAGTTGTTCACGTAAATGTCTAAATGAAGAATTATATAAGCTATGAGATTGAATTTGATTTTGAATGGTTCGTATTATGTAGGAAATCATTCCTAAGGCTTTCGAGGTCTTGAAAACAGTATATAACTCCATCGACAAGGTATGTAGGGCTTTCGCTATACTTTTCGGCATGACTAGAATTCGAATAAATGTTTATCGAATTGTTTCGTCGGATTCGAGTTATTTCACCTTCAACTTATAAAGATGCTTAGACCTGATCCTTTCTCATAGAGTGCTTACTTCAGAGAATATCTATGAATTCTCGGTTTTCCTTGTTCCTTGTTTAAAAAGAACTAGAGCCTTTTTACTCGTTCTCATTTCGACATTCATATAAATCATGAATAAGGAACACTTACTTCAAAGGTATTCATAATACATAACTCTCATGTTCTTAATACTTGTTGGCTCGTAGTTAAAAATTAAATATTTTAGCAACAGCCATGATAGTCGAGGAATAATGATGATAGGCCACTTCGACTCTTCTTAGAATACGTCTTTTAAGGTTGGTTTCGCATTGCACCTATATAATTCATGATTTAGTATATGTATGTATTTACTTTCATTACCGAGCCGCACTATAGACGGCCGGGTATGACACATATTGTGTAACCACTGATCAGTTGGGATTACCGAGCTTCACGTGGCCGGGTACGATTCTACCGAGCCTTTATTATGGCCGGGTATGTTATGGATATTATAGCCCCACAGAGGGATTTATTATTATATAATGTGATATATTATAAGTAGCGATAGTGAACGACGGTGTCACGAGCATACATTTATATCCATGTTGAATTTTAGTTTCCTACCGAGGCTAGTTTCAGAATTCAAATTATCTCTATGTCTCTTCTATTGTTAATTACATTTTTCATGTTACACTTGTCGCCCTACATATTCAGTACATATTTCGTACTGACGCATTTTTATGCGCTGTGTTCATGCCCACAGGTTCGAATAGACAGAGTGGCGTGCCTCCTCAGTAGGACCCCCAGGATCAGCATTGGGTTTCGCACTCCACTTCTTCGGAGTTGCTGACTTTGAGTCCATAGGTACTATTACCGATGTATATGTGTGGTTTTGGCATGTCGGGGGCTTTGTCCCGCCCTGTTGAGATTGTCTTACACTCTTAGAGGCTTGCAAACTAGCGGTCATTGTATATATATATATTTTTCGTATCGCCCTAACGGCCTTCTGGATAGCTGTTATACTGTTGTTGCAGCCTTGTTGGCCTAGTTTATATATATATATATATATATATATATATATATGTCGTGTTGGGATCTTCTGCCTGTAGGTTATTATATTTCAGATCATATCTCATGGTTGGTTCGCTCGGGCCTTCGAGCATCGGGTGCCAGCCACACCTCCCAAGGTTGGGGTGTGACATAAACGTCGTGACACTCACGCAGTAGGCTGACTAGGACCAACTGACCCCACATGGAATGGGTCAACGGTCAAATGTGTTTATTAGTTATAGGTTTCACGGGTTTGAGTGTTTAAATGAATTTGTGTATTGGCTTTCAAAAGCCCTACAAGTTTAAGTGGCCAGGAAGCCATTTCACCTTTTCATTTTGCAACTTCTCTCTTTTGATTCCCGCTTTTCTTTGCTTGACTCTTGTCTTTGTTCACTCATTTTCACTCTCTTGTTTTGACATTATTTCCCTCTCACGATTCTCTTGTTTTCTCTCTTTTTGTCTTTTTTTTCTTTTCATTTCACGGGTATGATCTAATCATATGGGGATTGCCTACGCATCATGACGTCGCATGAATCAGACCAAGCGTAGATCTAGGAATAAGTGTAAAATAAATAAAAATAAAATAACATTTTGGGGGTTTCAAATTTTTCATAAAAACGTCTTGGTTACAACGACTCATCCTACAGAATTTAATCATAAAACTAACAGACTCGAAAAAAAGGGGGACTAACAAACTCCAACAGAAAGATGAAAATACAGACTTGAAAACAGACTAACAGACTCCAACAAAGAAAATGAAAATACAGACTCGAATGAAAATCATGAATACATCAATGCCTCAACTTCTCCAGGGGCCCGTGGGACATCAGTCGGCCTTGCCACG